CTTCTCTTCAATCGGCCACCTGACATTCTGTGATATGTTCTTCTCTCCAATCGGCCACCTGATATTCTGTGATATGTTCTTCACTTCAATCGGCCACCTGACATTCTGTGATATGTTCTTCTCTCCTATCAGCCACCTGACATTCTGTGATATGTTCTTCTCTCCAATCGGCCACCTGACATTCTGTGATATGTTCTTCTCTCCTATCGGCCACCTATTATTCTATGATATGTTCTTCTCTCCTATCCGCCACCTGACATTCTGTGATATGTTCTTCTCTCCAATCTGCCACCTGACATTCTGTGATATGTTCTTCTCTCCTATTGGCCACCTGACATTCTATGATATGTTCTTCTCTCTAATCGGCCACCTGACATTCTATGATATGTTCTTCTTTCCAATCAGCCACCTGACATTCTATGATATGAACTTCTCTCCTATCGGCCGCCTATTATTCTATGATATGTTCTTCTCTCCTATCGGCCACCTGACATTCTGTAATATGTTCTTCTCTCCAATCGGCCACCTGACATTCTGTGTATTGTTCTTCTCTCCAATCGGCCACCTGACATTCTATGATATGTTCTTCTCTCCAATCGGCCACCTGACATTCTGTGATATGTTCTTCTCTCCTATCGGCCACCTGACATTCTGTAATATGTTCTTCTCTCCAATCGGCCACCTGACATTCTGTGATATGTTCTTCTCTCCAATCGGCCACCTGACATTCTATGATATGTTCTTCTCTCCAATCAGCCACCTGACATTCTGTGATATGTTCTTCTCTCCTATCGGCCGCCTATTATTCTATGATATGTTCTTCTCTCCTATTGGCCACCTGAAATTCTGTGATATGTTCTTCTCTCCTATCGGCCACCTGACATTCTGTGATATGTTCTTCTCTCCTGACTGACTGACTTTCTACCTCACTAGGACATCACACAAGCGATAAACACCCGATGAGGATCACCGTGGAGAGGTCCCAGAAACCGCATTAAGACAATTGGCCATATTGATGGCCTGCCTATATTTTGGCCCCTGGCAAAAGCCAGAGTGGGGCTTCAAATAACAAAAAATTACATCCTGAAAAGGACGTAAAGAAGATCATATATACTTCTCTCCTATTGGCCGTCTATTATTCTATGATATGTTCTTCTCTCCTATTGGCCACCTGACATTCTGTGATATGTTCTCCTATTGGCCACCTGACATTCTATGATATGTTCTCTCCTATTGACCACCTGCACTGTTAACTCGCTCCCAAAGAGCTGTCACAACATCTAGCTTGTCATACATCAATTTACTACCAAACAGTGTAGAACTGGCCAGTCTATCTGCCTGCTCATTTCCCAACACACCGGCATCCCTGGAAAAAATATTCAAAGGATGCTAACTATCTGGGACCTCTGCAGTGATGCTTGTCACTTTGCACCGAGTATGCCTGTCTCTACCTTTCTCAGCGTGCTGTGTTAGTTACAATTACGAGATGTGTGTACAGCTGATTCACAAGCCAGCAGAAGGCAGCAGTGACTGCCTCCACCTCCATTCTCAAACTAGATGTGTTGCGATATCATATGCCTGGTTTTGCTGCACTAAACAATGTCCATTTGCTTTACTGTTGCTGGTATCTAATCTTTACTGTTGCTGATATCTAATCTTTACTGTTGCTGGTGTGCAATCTTTACTGTTGCTAGTGTGCAATCTTTACTGTTGCTGGTATCTAATCTTTACTGTTGCTGATATCTAATCTTTACTGTTGCTGATATCTAATCTTTACTGTTGCTGATATCTAATCTTTACTGTTGCTGGTATCTAATCTTTACTGTTGCTGGTATCTAATCTTTACTGTTGCTGATATCTAATCTTTACTGTTGCTGATATCTAATCTTTACTGTTGCTGATATCTAATCTTTACTGTTGCTGGTATCTAATCTTTACTGTTGCTGGTATCCAATCTTTACTGTTGCTGGTATCCAATCTTTACTGTTGCTGGTATCTAATCTTTACTGTTGCTGGTATCTAATCTTAACTGTTGCTGATGTGCAATCTTTACTGTTGCTGGTATCTAATCTTTACTGTTGCTGGTATCTAATCTTTACTGTTGCTGGTATCTAATCTTAACTGTTGCTGATGTGCAATCTTTACTGTTGCTGGTATCTAATCTTTACTGTTGCTGGTATCCAATCTTTACTGTTGCTGGTATCCAATCTTTACTGTTGCTGGTATCTAATCTTTACTGTTGCTGGTATCCAATCTTTACTGTTGCTGGTATCCAATCTTTACTGTTGCTGGTATCCAATCTTTACTGTTGCTGGTATCTAATCTTAACTGTTGCTGATGTGCAATCTTTACTGTTGCTGGTGTGCAATCTTTACTGTTGCTAGTGTGCAATCTTTACTGTTGCTGGTGTGCAATCTTTACTGTTGCTAGTGTGCAATCTTTACTGTTGCTGATATCTAATCTTTACTGTTGCTGGTATCTAATCTTTACTGTTGCTGGTGTGCAATCTTTACTGTTGCTGGTATCTAATCTTTACTGTTGCTGGTATCTAATCTTTACTGTTGCTGGTATCTAATCTTTACTGTTGCTGGTATCTAATCTTTACTGTTGCTGGTATCTAATCTTTACTGTTGCTGGTATCTAATCTTTACTGTTGCTGGTATCTAATCTTTACTGTTGCTGGTATCTAATCTTTACTGTTGCTGGTATCTAATCTTTACTGTTGCTGGTATCTAATCTTTACTGTTGCTGGTATCTAATCTTTACTGTTGCTGGTATCTAATCTTTACTGTTGCTGGTGTGCAATCTTTACTGTTGCTGGTATCTAATCTTTACTGTTGCTGGTGTGCAATCTTTACTGTTGCTAGTGTGCGATCTTTACTGTTGCTGGTATCTAATCTTTTTACTGTTGCTGGTATCTAATCTTTACTGTTGCTGGTATCTAATCTTTTTACTGTTGCTGGTATCTAATCTTTACTGTTGCTGGTATCTAATCTTTTTACTGTTGCTGGTATCTAATCTTTACTGTTGCTGGTATCTAATCTTTACTGTTGCTGGTATCTAATCTTTACTGTTGCTGATATCTAATCTTTACTGTTGCTGGTATCTAATCTTTACTGTTGCTGGTATCTAATCTTTACTGTTGCTGGTATCTAATCTTTACTGTTGCTGGTATCTAATCTTTACTGTTGCTGGTATCTAATCTTTACTGTTGCTGGTATCTAATCTTTACTGTTGCTGGTATCTAATCTTTACTGTTGCTGGTGTGCAATCTTTACTGTTGCTGGTATCTAATCTTTACTGTTGCTGGTGTGCAATCTTTACTGTTGCTGGTATCTAATCTTTACTGTTGCTGGTATCTAATCTTTACTGTTGCTGGTGTGCAATCTTTACTGTTGCTGGTATCTAATCTTTACTGTTGCAGGTATCTAATCTTTACTGTTGCTGGTGTGCAATCTTTACTGTTGCTGGTATCTAATCTTTACTGTTGCTGGTGTGCAATCTTTACTGTTGCTGGTATCTAATCTTTACTGTTACTGGTATCTAATCTTTACTGTTGCTGGTATCTAATCTTTACTGTTGCTGGTATCTAATCTTTACTGTTGCTGGTATCTAATCTTTACTGTTGCTGGTATCTAATCTTTACTGTTGCTGGTATCTAATCTTTACTGTTGCTGGTGTGCAATCTTTACTGTTGCTGGTATCTAATCTTTACTGTTGCTGGTGTGCAATCTTTACTGTTGCTAGTGTGCAATCTTTACTGTTGCTGGTATCTAATCTTTACTGTAGCTGGTGTGCAATCTTTACTGTTGCTAGTGTGCAATCTTTACTGTTGCTGGTGTGCAGTCTTTACTGTTGCTGATATCCAATCTTTACTGTTGCTGATATCCAATCTTTACTGTTGCTAGTATCTAATCTTTACTGTTGCTGGTATCTAATCTTTACTGTTGCTGATATCCAATCTTTACTGTTGCTAGTGTGCAATCTTTACTGTTGCTGATATCCAATCTTTACTGTTGCTAGTGTGCAGTCTTTACTGTTGCTGATATCCAATCTTTACTGTTGCTAGTGTGCAGTCTTTACTGTTGCTGATATCCAATCTTTACTGTTGCTGGTGTGCAATCATTACTGTTGCTTGTGTGCAATCTTTACTGTTGCTGGTGTGCAATCTTTACTGTTGCTGGTGTGCAGTCTTTACTGTTGCTGATATCCAATCTTTACTGTTGCTGATATCCAATCTTTACTGTTGCTGGTATCTAATCTTTACTGTTGCTGGTATCTAATCTTTACTGTTGCTGATATCCAATCTTTACTGTTGCTAGTGTGCAATCTTTACTGTTGCTGATATCCAATCTTTACTGTTGCTAGTGTGCAGTCTTTACTGTTGCTGATATCCAATCTTTACTGTTGCTAGTGTGCAGTCTTTACTGTTGCTGATATCCAATCTTTACTGTTGCTGGTGTGCAATCATTACTGTTGCTTGTGTGCAATCTTTACTGTTGCTGGTGTGCAGTCTTTACTGTTGCTGATGTCCAATCTTTACTGTTGGTGATGTCCAATCTTTACTGTTGGTGATGTCCAATCTTTACTGTTGGTGATGTCCAATCTTTACTGTTGGTGATGTCCAATCTTTACTGTTAGTGATGTCCAATCTTTACTGTTGGGTAATGACTAATTATTATTGTTGATGATGTATGATCTTCACTACTGCTGATGTCCAATCTTTACAGTTGCTGATATTCAATCTTAACTGTTGCTGATATCCAATCTTTACTGTTGCTAATGTCCATTCTTTACTATTGCTGATGATGTTGGTTATTATTTTATTTTGATTCTTTAGAATTTTTGTTGCAACTGATGACCAGTCTTTGTTTATTCTTTGATAGGATTTTGCTTTCATTGTATCATACAACTGATGTGGATGATTTAGCTTCCTTTCCTTCTGTTATCATCTCTGTACCAGTGTCAAATGATCCTGGCTTGTTCTCTCTTCCTCAGACATGGACTCTGATTTATTCTCCAGCCCGGCGGCTTTGGACCTGACAATGAAATCCACCATTGTATCCTGCCCTGTGAAAAGTGAAACAACCAGCCCGGACATGTTCCTGACAATGGCTGATACCACTGCAGCGTTCAGCATTACACGACAGCCCACCATCATTGTCACCACAACATCAACACCATTGGTGACAGCAAAATCATCCATCTTTGGCAGTGACACCATCAGCATACCAACTGTTCACATCAAGCAGGAACCAGTCGAGTGTTTAGACCAAATTCATGAGCAAGCAGGTAAAATACTCTGTCTATTGCTGTAATGCTTTCAGTTTCATCTGATGTATCTATTTCAGCATATCCATATCATAATTTGGTGGTACACCTCACAGTTTGGTAACTTCCTTTTTCTCCTACCTCTGTTAGGTTTGGTGGTTTATCCTCACAGCTTGGTGACTTTCTTCTTGTCCTGCCTATATTTTAGTTTTGGTGGCATATCCTCACAGCTAGTTGGCATGCTTACTTTACCTGTTTTATTAAGTTTGGTGGTATATCCTCACAGTTTGGTGACTTCCTTCATCTTATGTCTCCCATTCAATTTATTGGTATATCGTCACAGCTTGTTGGCATGCTTACTTTACCTGTTTTATTAAGTTTGGTGGTATATCCTCACAGTTTGGTGACTTCCTTCATCTTATGTCTCCCATTCAATTTATTGGTATATCGTCACAGCTTGTTGGCTTACTTACTTTTCCTGCTTCCATTAAGTTTGGTAGTATATCCTCACTTCCTGTTCTTTAAACTTTGAGTCACTTCTAATAATGGTTTTAGTTCTTTTCTTTACTTTCAGGTGCTCTATCTGGATTATTGTTGATGTCTTTGGAATAATAATAATGCGTTTATGTTGTCTCTACAAATGAGGCTCTGTATTGTATCTTCCTTGATGCAAATCAAGCAGCACTGTCCAAAAGCCATGTAAATGGTCTGACATGGCTTGTTAATGGTCTGACATGGCTTGGTAATGGTCTGACTTGGCTTCTTAATGGTCTGACATGGCTTGTTAATGGTCTGACATGGCTTGTTAATGGTCTGACATGGCTTGTTAATGGTCTGACATGGCTTGTTAATAGACTGACATGGCTTGTTAATGGTCTGACATGGCTTGTTAAAGGTCTGACATGGCTTGTTAAAGGTCTGACATGGCTTGTTAATGGTCTGACATGGCTTGGTAATGGTCTGACATGGCTTGGTAATGGTCTGACTTGGCTTGGTAATGGTCTGACATGGCTTCGTAATGATCCTCTGATATAACACTTCATATTGATCTCAGCTAATTGTTGTTTAACCTCTAATATAACACTTTATATTGATCTCAGCTAATTGTTGTTTAACCTCTAATATAACACTTTATATTGATCTTTATATTGATCTATATTGAGAGTTAGAAAAAGAATTCTTGCTTGCTACATACATCCAGTTTTAACATATGGATGTGAATCCTGGACAATCGGTAGGCAGGCCAAACAATTTTTAGAGGCCTCAGAGATGTGGTTTTACAGAAGAATGCTTAGAATACCTTGGACAGCCAAAAAGAGCAACCAAGAGGTTTTAAAAGAGGCGGGAGACCGAAGACAACTTATCACTGACATCAGAAGGAGACAGTCATCATTTTTCGGCCATGTTATGAGAAGAGGGAAAATAGAACATGTTGTGACCACTGGAAAGATCTGTGGAAGGAGGGATAGAGGAAGACAACGAGAGAAGATGCTTGACAGTCTTGTTGCATGGCATGGAGGTGTGTCGGCACACGAACTGATACATGCTGCAGGAGATCGCGGATTATGGAGAGGCATGATCGCCCACGCCAGTCGGCAAGGCACCTGATGATGATGATATTGATCTCAGCTAGTTGTTGTTTAACCTCTAATATAACACTTCATATTGATCTCAACTAGTTGTTGTTTAACCTCTAATATAAAACTTTATATTGATCTCAGCTAATTGTTGTTTAACCTCTAATATAACACTTTATATTGATCTCAGCTAGTTGTTGATTAACCTCTTAAATAACACTTCATATTGATCTCAACTAGTTGTTGTTTAAGCTCTAATATAACACTTTATATTGATCTCAGCTAATTGTTGTTTAACCTCTAATATAACACTTTATATTGATCTCAGCTAGTTGTTGTTTAACCTCTAATATGACACTTTATATTGATCTCAGCTAGTTGTTGTTTAACCTCTAATATAACACTTCATATTGATCTCAACTAGTTGTTGTTTAACCTCTAATATAACACCTCATATCAATCTCAACTAGTTGTTGTTTAACCTCTAATATAACACTTCATATTGATCTCAACTAATTGTTGTTTAACCTCTAATATAACACTTCATATTGATCTCACCTAGTTGTTGTTTAACCTCTAATATAACACTTCATATTGATCTCAGCTAATTGTTTTTTAACCTCTAATATAACACTTCATATTGATCTCAACTAATTGTTGTTTAACCTCTAATATAACACTTCATATTGATCTCACCTAGTTGTTGTTTAACCTCTAATATAACACTTTATATTGATATCAACTAGTTGTTGTTTAACCTCTAATATAACACTTCATATTGATCTCAACTAGTTGTTGTTTAACCTCTAATATAACACTTCATATTGATCTCAACTAATTGTTGTTTAACCTCTAATATAACACTTCATATTGATCTCAACTAGTTGTTGTTTAACCTCTGATATAACACTTTATATTGATCTCAACTAGTTGTTGTTTAACCTCTAATATAACACTTTATATTGATCTCAACTAGTTGTTGTTTAACCTCTAATATAACACTTCATATTGATCTCAACTAGTTCTTGTTTAACCTCTAATATAACACTTCATATTGATCTCAACTAGTTGTTGTTTAACCTCTAATATAACACTTCATATTGATCTCAACTAGTTGTTGTTTAACCTCTAATATAACACTTCATATTGATCTCAACTAGTTCTTGTTTAACCTCTAATATAACACTTCATATTGATCTCAACTAGTTGTTGTTTAACCTCTAATATAACACTTCATATTGATCTCACTAGTTGTTGTTTAACCTCTAATATAACACTTCATATTGATCTCAACTAGTTGTTGTTTAACCTCTAATATAACACTTCATATTGATCTCAACTAGTTGTTGTTTAACCTCTAATATAACACTTCATATTGATCTCAACTAGTTCTTGTTTAACCTCTAATATAACACTTCATATTGATCTCAACTAGTTGTTGTTTAACCTCTAATATAACACTTCATATTGATCTCAACTAGTTGTTGTTTAACCTCTAATATAACACTTCATATTGATCTCAACTAGTTCTTGTTTAACCTCTAATATAACACTTCATATTGATCTCAACTAGTTGTTGTTTAACCTCTAATATAACACTTCATATTGATCTCAACTAGTTGTTATTTAACCTCTAATATAACACTTCATATTGATCTCAACTAGTTCTTGTTTAACCTCTAATATAACACTTCATATTGATCTCAACTAGTTGTTGTTTAACCTCTAATATAACACTTCATATTGATCTCAACTAGTTGTTGTTTAACCTCTAATATAACACTTCATATTGATCTCAACTAGTTGTTGTTTAACCTCTAATATAACACTTTATATTGATCTCAACTAGTTGTTGTTTAACCTCTAATATAACACTTCATATTGATCTCAGCTAGTTGTTGTTTAACCTCTAATATAACACTTCATATTGATCTCAACTAATTGTTGTTTAATATATAATATATAACCAAGTTTAATTGAACAGTGGAAAGTATTTCAACATATATCTTCCTCAGTGAACTTGGAATCCATTGTTCTTCCACCAACACCACCTGGCAGTTCTGGCAGTGATAGTGAGGGCAGTCAGAGCCCACTGAATTCAGCTCCTTCCAGCCCCATCCGTCAGTCATCCTTGAGGCATTCATCATCTGGTACACAGGTCGCCGGTAAAGGATACACTCAGCCACTGTTTGTCAATGCAGTAAGTCTCTAGGAAATGTGTAGTTTGCTGGTGCATCTATGCTTGCCAATGGTTTCATCTGACCTCTGTTATTCTATCATTAACAACTCAAGTCAATCATTCAGTTAATAAAAACCCAGCAGATTCAATGTCTAAACTGCTTGACAAGAAAGCCACTGAGAGCCACAGGAAAGGAAAACAAATTGAATGAACGAAGATCAAAGATGACAACTACATACAAGATGGAAGTGACTAATACGAGAATAATCCTAGAGAAATTAAGACCACCTTAAAAAGGTTAATTGGGAAGAACAAATAAACATAAAATTACCCCCTAACCCCTTCCCACTCTCCCCTCCCCCAGTACATCACTGAGATAAATAGAGGGCGAGAAGTCATTTGACTCCTGTTCTGTTAGAGAAAAAAGTCTACTCTTTTCATTGTGATCAATACTTTATTTATTCCATGGAGAAAAACAATATATATATATATATATATATATATATATATATATATATATATATATAGAATATGTTTGAACAAAGAAAACACAAACAATAGATTGCACAATTTATTGCCTGGCATATTTCCCTGTATCTTGTCAGGTGCATACTACAGTAACAATTACATAAATGAAGCCTAGTACGAACATTATTTAACCGCTCTGGAAAGAATTGCTCCAGCAAAACGCTACAGTCTGAACAATAAACCCTCAAACAAACGTTATTATTGAAACGGATACCTAGTTGGTTTTATTAAGCGCCACTGCCAACCTCCTCAACCAACTACTACAGAAACAGTTCCCAAACAACAAGTCTACATATATCTAACCTGTCTAGGGGATGACGTTATGAAACGGCTATATGACCGGTTTAAAACAGCAGTCAGCCAAACTTTCTACGCCGCTTTGCCTATTATCAGGTTTAAAAATACTTCTGTGCCAACGCCCTCGGTGAAACAACCAGTTTCGACATACGTCAAATCAAGTTGTATCTACCAATTTTAATGTAGCTGTGAAGCTGCTTATGTGGGCAGAACTGGTCGACGATTGGAGAAACGAGTCGCTGAGCACATTCCAGTATGTGTGAAAAAAGCTATGCAAAATAATATTCAAAATGAGAATACTGGCCACAAAGATCACCCCTCTGCAATAGCACACCATCTTCTAAAACTGGACACTTGATAACTAAAGACAAATCATTTCAAATCCTTCATATGTCAACCAATGGCAGCACGCTAAGATTTCTCGAAGCTTCCGCGATTCATCACCTGCACCCGGAACTCTGTATTCAGAAAGGGATGGTTATGTCTTTACGGCTGACCTGGTAAAAACAGTCAGTCATGATTGATCTTGATGAAATTGTACTTCAGTTATAAAGGATTCACTTATTTGCTTCATTTATGTCATTGTTACTGTATAATGCACCTGACGAGTTACAGGGAAATATGCCAGGCAATAAATTGTACAATTTATTGTTTGTGTCTTCTTTATTTAAATTTACAACTATTTGGCCGAATACGAATAGTGTATCATCATCATTTGGTGCCTTGCCGACTAGTGTAGGCGAATATGCCTCGCCACAATCTGCGATCTCCTGCAGCATGTATTAGTTCGTGTGTTGACACACCTCCATGCCATGCAACAAGACTGTCAAGAATCTTCTCTCGTTGTCTTCCTCTATCCCTCCTTCCACAGATCTTTCCAGTGGTCACCACATTTTTCATTTGCCCTCTTCTCATAACATGGCTGAAAAATGATGACTGTCTCCTTCTGATGTCTGTGATTAGGTGTCTTCAGGCTCCCGCAACTTTCAAAACCTTTTGGTTGCTTTTTTCTGGCTGTCCAGGATAATTTAAGCATTTTTCTGTAAAACCACATCTCTGAGGCCTCAAGAAATTGTTTGGCCTGCCTACAGATTGTCCAGGACTCATTCAACGCATTGCTTTTAAATATAAGTGCTTACTTGATGAGGCTGACTGTGACTATTGTACAGACCACATTTTCCTCTTTAAAATTTGAGGATAAATGTAATCGCAACCTGACTTATCCGCTGCACCTTCATGAATACAGATGGAGGATCAGTCGCATGTCGAGATAAACACAAAGACCATTGTTAGCATGCTGCGGTTGGCATTTTACTGTAGTATTATGATACATTTTGAGTGTGAAACAAGGAAAAACTCTTTTTGACAGTAGCGAGGATAGACAATTTAAATTTTAACTTTTAAGTATCTTCATGCCTACTTTATTAATGTCACAATTTATAGCCGACTTTTCTTGATTTTCGCCGTGGCACCCCTGGTATACGCGCCCAGTTTGAGAACCTGTGCTGTAATGCCTTTGCTGTAAGACCCTACCAGGGTCGCAGTTTCCCCCGCTACGACAGACTTAGGCAACAGCTACTATTGTGTTAATGATTATTTCAGTCCATCGCAGTGTATGCAAAACGGGTGTAAGATAACCACTATTCGTATTCAGCCTGACTGCAAGTATTCGGCCGAATACCAAATAGTTATTTAGTCCACTATTCAGCTCCGAGGCGATTATTCAGTACAGCCCTAATGGGAACATTCCAGACTGGTTGATATATCTGTGAGAAGGAACATTCTAGACCTGTTAATAAGGCTGTGAGAATATCGTAGCCCTCCCCTCCAGCTTAGCTTGATAGGATACACTTGCATTAGACAATATAGGATCTCATAGCTGTTGTTTCTCGCACCACACAGATATCGCAGTCTGGGTTGCTGATTCTCTCAGAGGAAGAGAAGAGAACTCTCATATCTGAAGGCTATCCCATCCCTAGTAAACTTCCATTGACCAAACAGGAGGAGAAGAATCTGAAAAAGATCCGCAGGAAAATCAAGAACAAGGTATGTATTACTGTCAGCACATGTATGTAGGCAGCCTTACTTATTTAATAGCTAGCATCCCGGCCTTGCTGGCCCTGTAGTCACAGGTTCCAATCTCATAAGGTAGATTTGTTTCTTATCAACCTAGCCTTCCTACCTTATGCTGTTTACTAGCAGTGTTGTGAGAAGTCAAAAATACCAAGTATGAGTCAGTGGTGACTATTGTGCAGTCTAGGTTCTGTCTAGATTCCTTGTGATGACACTAGACACATATTGACTGCAGCAATAGGTAAACATACTCAGTGTTACACATGCAGTCCTGTGGAGGAAGACAACAAAGTTGACATCTTGTCTTCCTTGTTTGCATCAGATGTGTGTCATTGACAGAAGAGTCACCTTATATTTTGACTTCACTGTTGACCATATTTATTATTTTTTCTGTGTGTTCTATGTTTTGTCAATGCATTATTGTCCATGGACAAATCTCTATTTTTGTGGAGTCTAGTAATTAGAATCTGTAGTCGTCCTTTCTCTGCTTTCTGTTTGCCTATCTTGTGTTCTCTCTCTCTCTCTCTCTCTCTCTCTCTCTCTCTCTCTCTCTCTCTCTCTCTCTCTCTCTCTCTCTCTCTCTCTCTCTCTCTCTCTCTCTCTCTCTCTCTCTCTCTCTCTCTCTCTCTCTCTCTCTCTCTCTCTCTCTCTCTCCCCCCTCCCTCCCTAAAGCTTCCTCCCCCCTCCCTCCCTACCTCACTCACTCACTCACTCACTCACTCACTCACTCACTCACTCACTCACACACGCGAATGTGCTAACACACACACACATGCACACAAATGTATATGCAAACACATACACACCCGATGTCTCCTGTCTTTTGTTTATATGGTTTGTCTGTTTCAGATTTCAGCTCAAGAGAGCCGGCGGAAAAAGAAAGAATATCTGGAAGCTTTAGAGAAAAGGTAAATCACTAAATTATCATTGTGTTTATGTTATCCTGGTATATATGACACTTCCTGAGCAAGCTCACATGGAAATACATAAGGAGTCTCTCTCTCTCTCTCTCTCTCTCTCTCTCTCTCTCTCTCTCTCTCTCTCTCTCTCTCTCTCTCTCTCCCTCCCTCCCTCCCCCTCCCCCTCTCTCTCTCTCTCTCTCCCTCCCTCCCCCTCCCTCTCTCTCTCTCTCTCTCTCTCTCTCTCTCTCTCTCTCTCTCCCTCCCTTTCACTCACGAAAGTGACCATCACCAGTGTTCGGTATTGATCTCCAAATCCAGTAAAGTAATGGTTTCAAAAGCTCACAGGTCTTCCAAGTATCAGCAGACAAACACCCTACTTGGATGCCTCCAACAGAGGGCATGAAAGAGGCCTGGCAGGTCTACTTTTGTGCAGCCTCCATGGCGGACATCAGTGGTAGAACAGGCATAGAAGTTAAAGAGAGCTTCAATAAAGCATTTTAAGAAAGTGCCACAGACAGCCCTAAGCTAGCATGAGTAGCCGGAGTGTGCAGAAAGAGATAAGAAAGACAGGATAGAGTTTTTTAGTGCTGTGTGGCAGAGGCCAAAGAAAAGCAAAATGTGAGCATTTTGCTGATGATATTTGGGGTGATAAGACATTGGGAACATTTTGGAAGCTACATAGGCAGATGCTCAAGAAAGATCGGTCCAGCGAAATGGGAACAATTCATAGTGATGACGATATTAACCACAGACAAAGAGAAGAAGGAAGCTTTCCTGAAGTGGTTCATTTCACAGACAGACCACAACGATGGAGATAACAGATACAGTTAGAGAAAATTTGGCAGCCATCTTAGAGAACAAATATTTTGAAAACCTCACACAGGTGGGAGATGTGAAACGTATTCTGAAAAAGGCGAAAGACACTGCACCTGGGCCTGAAAGGGATAGATATTGTCATATATGAGGGACATGAGCTATGTAGACCTGGTAGAGATGACTGCTTGTTTCAGCCAGTGCATTAGGACAGCTTCAGTCCCACAAGAGTGGATGCACAGCTATCTGATCCCACAAGAGTGGATGCACAGCTATCTGATTCCACAAGAGTGAATGCACAGCTATCTCATCCCACAAGAGTGGATGCACAGCTATCTGATCCCACAAGAGTGGATGCACAGCTATCTGATCCCACAAGAGTGGATGCACAGCTATCTGATCCCACAAGAGTGGATGCACAGCTATCTGATCCCACAAGAGTGGATGCACAGCTATCTGATCCCACAAGAGTGGATGCACAGCTATCTGATCCCACAAGAGTGGATGCACAGCTATCTGATCCCACTTCCTAAGCCTGGCAAGGATCACTCAACAGCAGCTTTGGTATCATAACCCTACGAAACACCTAAGGTAAAGTTCTGAAGAAGATAGTGGCGGGTAAGCTGCAAGAATTTTTGGAACAGAGAAATCTCCTTCCATGAGGTTTGAGAAGTAACTGGCCAGGGAAGAATACATGGTCAAAGGCAGCCACTTTTGCCTTTGATGCCTATGAAGGTTTATGAAACAGACAAGAAACAGTGGCAGCGGCACTAGATTTAGAAGACGCTTACAACAGAGACATATACAGTACCTTGATGAAAGCGCTTATGGAGAAGGGAGTCTGTCTTTAGTTGGTGAACTGGATAGCAGCCGTTTTGTGTACTTGCCGGGTAGCTCTCCGCCTGGGTTCCTGGACCTCTGAACCATGTATTATAGCTCAAGGACAACAACAGCAATCTGCTGCTTCACCTGTACTTACTATTCATTGTTTTTTTCGAGCAAGATTGCCTGCATGGAAACACCAGGAGTTGGCAGAATATTGACATTTGCAGATGATGTTCTCGTATATAGGAAGAGGAGAGATTGAAATAAAATAGCTCAAGAGTTACAGGCGACAATAGGTAAGCTGATCGACTGGTGTACAAAGATGAATGCTGCTCAAAGATGAATGGTGTAATCAGCCCAGAAACGGCAACGGTCGTGTGGTGTTCTAAGGACAAAATGATTATTAGAGCTAATGTTCCAAACCTCAAAATAAATGGCAGGATCATCAGAAGAGACAGCAGACTGCGGTACCTAGAAAATACCTTTGACAGAAGCTTGTTTTTCAAGACTCACATAGAGTAGGTTGTGACAAGGGCTCAGAAAGGTCTTAATGCACTAAAGATTACGGCAACGATGGACACAGAGCAGAGAATGCTGTTCACACTTTACCAGCCCTTAATCATCTCAGTGATTATCTTTAGGAGTTTCTCACTGTCTCAAAGAGCCAGTTAGAGAAACTGGAGCCCATACAGAATGAAACAGTGTGGGTGATCCTGGGATGTACAAGAGACACCCCAATTGTGTGGATGCTATACACCCTTGCATTGCCAACTATTGCAGATAAGCTCAAGGTGCTGCAGGCTAAGTCATACCTCAGAGTAGCTGCAGACAAAGAACACCCGCTGTATGAAGCTTTGGCTGCAGTTAAGGGTCAGAGGCTGAAAAGGGGGACATTTTGGATGGTTCAATTATGACAATATGACAAGTATGCATGCTGGAGAACACTGGGCAAGGAGAGGAATGGGCCAGATTACCAGAGGAAAAGTCTGTCCTGCATAGGGTTATGTTTTCATTTGGCCCGGAGTGCAGAGAGTAGCCAGCCGGTGCGACGGAGGTAGATAACCAACAATTGGTTGATAAACAACAGTTCTTACCCAGATGATCTGATTATCTATACAAATGGTTCTGTGTTAAGAGGGAAGAGAAGTGCCTGGATGCTCGTAGCAGGTGGTGAATTGATACATGACAAGGCAGATATGTTCTCTTTGGGAACATGTAACAAAGTCAGAAGAGAAATGAGATTTTTATGACCTGGAGAGAATGATGCACCTGAGTGTAACCAGAGGGTCTGGCTGACTCACTACACTCAGAGAAAAGGCAAGACATATTACTCGATTACAACCAGTACCATTATAATTGGAACTTAAGGCTGGCTGTTGAATATGAGGATGGAGCGTGCATGGGTATACCCTGAATGCTGTGATGTCGACTCTTGACTCAACTTAACTCAACTCTCTCTCTCTCTCTCTCTCTCTCTCTCTCTCTCTCACTCTCTCTCTGTCTCTCTTTATCTTTCCCCCAAACCCCCCCCCCCCCCCTTCCCCAATCTGGGTCTCTCTGTGAGGATAATCTGTCGTCTGCCTAAGGTTAGGAATCCAAATACCTATGGACTGAATGGTTCAGTGTGCAGTAAGGATAAAATGTTGACTAACTAACCAAGGTAGGGTTGATTATGGCCTGTGACTGCTTACCGTCTCAAAGAGTCAGATGGACAAACTAGAGCGCATACAGAACGTGGCTATGCGGATAATTCTGGGTTGCACCAGAGAAACTCCTGTATGTGAAACATTCTTGGTTTGCTGACTGTTGCAGGTAGGCACAAGGTGCTGCAAGCGAAGTCATATCTCAAGGTAGCTGCAGACACAGACCACCTTTTGCATGAAGCTCTGGGTGCAGTTAAGGGTCAGCGGCTGAAAAGATGGAAGTCATGGATAGCTCAGGCAGAAGACACAATCAGACAGGTTTGCATCCTTGAGAACATTAGGCGAGGAGATGAGTGGGTCAGAGTGCCAGCTGAACAGTCAGGCTTGTGTAGAGTCATAATTACGCTGAGCCGGGAATGCAAAGACTGACCAGCAGGTGCCACAGAGGTGAAAATTCAGCAGTTAGTTGATGATAATGCTCGCTCAGAGGATTTTATTATTTACACAAACTGTTCAGTGTCAAGAGGCAAAAGAAGTGCTTGGGGTTTCTTAACAAAAGTTAATGGTCGACATTTGATGCAGGAGAGCCTAGCATATAATACCACAACATCCATCTTAAGAATCATCTTTCTGCTGGTTAGAGAACATGACACACACACACATCATGATTGTAACTGACTTAGAAAGCATGCTGAGGAAGATTAGGACAGGCATGCTTTGTTCAGAGTGACATGCTTCACTGCAGAGGACGCAGTTGAGGAGTATTGTCTGGATATTTTCACCGGGATCA